GTTGCAAGTTCCCCCCCCCCCCCGTTCGCATCGCAAGCTTTGCACTGCTTTGCATCACTTTGCATTGCTTTGCACTGCGTTGCTTCGCACTGCTTTGCGTCGCATAGCCTTTGCGATGCATGTCTCCTTGGTTTGCTTTGTCTAACATTGCATGGCTGTGGATTTCTTTGCACTGCTGTGCGTCGCATTTCGTTGCTTGGCATTGGTTTGCATTGCCTTGCATTGCGTTGCACTGCTTTGTAGTGCGTTGCATTGCAATGCAGTGCGTTGCATTGCTGTGCGCCACATAGATGATTGCACCACATGGGCTGCACCATCTTGACAGTAACAATGTGATTGCACCTATACTGCACCGCACAGATTGCATGAAATCATGTGTTGGGGTCCACGCTGGTTGTCATATCTGTAAGTTGTGACGAAACATACGACACCAGGTAACAAAACAAAACAGTATTTTGTTGTAGTTGAAAATTTGAGGGCAGTCCACGCGTGCCCTCTCTTTTTTCTCTTGTTTCTCTCTCATGAAGTTCGGTCTTTCTCTCTCTCTCTCTCTTGCTCTTTCTCTCCCTCTTTGTCGTTCTCCCTCTCTCTCGCTCTCGACCTCAACTCGGTCTGCACGCTTATCGAACTTTCAAGATCTACTGCCTCTCACTCGCTCTCTCTCTCTCTCTCACTGTCTCTCCCCTCTCTCTTTCTCTGTATGTGTCTCTCCCTCTCTCTCTCCCTCTCTCCATGCAAGCCCAACCCGGCTCTATAGTATATGATGTGCACTCGCTCGTCTGTGCCAGATAATTTCGCATGATGTGTGGATGTATATGCTGTTGTTGACCGTCGTCGCAAGTAATACATCCCTTTCTTCCCTCTCTCTCTCTCTCTATATATCTCCCTTTCTCCGTCCCGAACCCGTCTAGCTCTGTGAATACCTCCTATGTGTTCAGTATGTGCGTTCAGAACTTCATGTCGCTACCCAGCTCACTGCATCTGTGCTGGCGGCCAGGCCTTCGAAGGCGAGCCCGCCTGCTGGGCGGGTGGGCCCCTCCTCCGGGGTCCTCGGGACGGACCTTTTCCGACCGCGCGCTGCAATTTTGGCCCAGGGCGCTTCTCATCGCCAGCCGCGCTCGTTCCTCCACCCTCCTCCTTCTCCTCCGGCTTTGAGATTCCCCCAGCAGTGCTTGCACTTAGGGGTTCTTAGCTGATGGCCTTCGGCCCATCCCGCCACCGTGCCTGGGTTGTGGGTATGGAGCCTATTGGGTGTTCGTTGGGATCTCATGGGAGGCCTCTGGGCGGTCGCTGAGAGGCAGTTTGGAATTCTTTAGGGGGCCCTTTGAGGGCATCTTTCGGGCCTCATGGGGGCCTCTTGGTGCCTCTTGGGGGCCTCTCTGTCGCCTCTTGTGGTCTCCTGGGCGCCTTTTGGGGCCTCCTGGGGGCCTCTTGGGGCGGAAAGCTTGGATTTCTGGTTTGTGTTCCTTCTCTTGGGCTCCTTTTGGGGCCGTCCTGGGGCCCTCTTGGGCGCCTCTTGAGCGCTTCTTGGGCCGTCTTGAGGCGCTCTCAAACCATCTTGGCTCTCTCTTGGAGGCCTCGTGGGCCATTTTGAAATGGTCTTGGGGGCCTCTTCGGCCGTCTCGGAGCGTTGGGAAGCCAGAAAAAATGCGAGAACGCCAAAATCCTGCCAAAAACAATGTAACATTCACGATGTGGGTCTCTTGGGGCTCTCTTTCGGGAGGTCTCTTAGAGGCCTGTTGGAGCCTCTTAGGCCGCCTCAGGCCCATCTTGGGCGTCTTGGAGCGATCGCTAGGCGTCTCGGGGCCCTCTTGGACCGTCTTGGCGGCCTCTTGGAGCCTTCTTGGCCCGTCTTGGGACCCTCGTGGGCTCCAAAAGGTCACGCGGGAGGCGCTCTTGGGCCGTCTAGGCGCGATTTGGAGGGCCTCCAGGGCTGTCTTGAACCCTTTGAAAGCAGAAGAGCTCAGATGCTAAGAATGTAGGCTTTCCTATCGGGATTTGACGATGCTTGCCTCTGTGGGGGTCCTCTTGGGGGCCTCTTGGGGACCTCTCGGACCGTCTTGGCAGCCCCGGGGGCCGCGCAGGGGACCCCAGGGGGAACCGCGGCAGGCCCCGTGCGCCTCCGCCCCGACGCGCCCCCTCCCGCCCAGGGGGCCACCTGCTGCCGGAAATAACACCGGGCAGTCGCGCTCTTCCCGCTCGGAGCCTGTTTTCCTAGACCCCCACCGCCTGATCCCGAGGCTTTGCCTCCTCCTGCGGGCAGTACTTACATCCATATCCTCCTCTTGTGGATATAACTATTGCCCGCACCTCCTGGCCTTGACGTGAGGCCTCTCCTTCTGTCCCCCCCTCTTCGTTAATTCAAGCTTCGCGCGGCCCGCTTAGCTTCGACCGGAAGTGGCGCGCTCTCGACCCGCGGATCAAACAAAAAAAAAAATGTTTTCCCAGACCCCCGCAAGTGTACTTGCACGGACGGGGGGGGGGCCTGAGCCTCGCAGAAGACGGAATGCCATAAACATGTTTTTAGTGCTCCGCACAGATTTCTTGGATCCGCGCTGGGGCCCCCCGGCAGTGCCTCCGGCGCCGCCCCTGGCGCGCTCCGCGCGCCAGGGAGAGGTGTCCAGCGCAGATCCAAGAAGTCCGCGCGGAGCTCCGAAAGTTTATGTTTATGGCGTGTTTTGCTTCTTCTTCTGGAACCTGAAGCCAGCCGCAGGCGACCTGCACGTGCGGACACCACGCAAGTCGAACGGCTATTGCACGCTGGCGTTCGTCTGCAGAGGGGCGAGGGAGGCAGGAGGGAGGGGGTGGGGGGGCGGGGCGAACGCCATGCGAGTAATCTTGCCCGAGGTTTCAACAAAAACGGGCTCTTGGAGACCCGCATCGGCGTCTTGCCCCCGCGGTCGCGATCGCCCACCGGGCCCGGCGAAGACGGGGGGCCCGAGGGGGCCGGGAGAGGCAGCAGCGAGAAGACGGCCTGCCAGTCGTGAAGGGCCCGGCGCTCGTCCCCGAGTATACCCGAGGTTCGTCGCAAGGTTCTTCCCTGTCCTCCCCATTTCACGGTTTTTCTCGTATTCCTCCTCCTCCTCCTCCTCCTGCTCCTCCTCCTCCTCCTCCTCTTGCTCCTCCTCCTCCTCCTCCTCACCTCTTCCCGCTCCTTCTCCCGATCCCCTTCTTCGGCTCCCTATACTTCAGAGCTTTTGCTTCGCAGGAGTTCCCACCTTCCCGAATCTCCAGCTCTCTTCGCTTCGGACCTCCCCCCATTGCCCGACTCCAGCTTCTGCTCTCGGCCATTCCCCACCACTTGCCCTATCTGTTGCCTCCCATAGCACCGACTCCCATTATAGTCAACCCGCATGGCAAGGATGGAGAATTTCCCCCAGGGTACCCTTGCATCCTGGCCTCCTCGGTCCATTCTTGGCCACTTCCGTTGGCCGCGCCCCGCTCAAAGAGCTTCGAAACGGGCGTCCAAGGCCCGCGGCATCCTTCATGATGCGGGCCGGCTGCGCTCGGCGGCCAGCCCTATATCCACGTTTCCAGCGCGTACCGCCGCCCCGGCGCCCACCCGCTGCACCCACGAATTGGGTGCCCGCATGCGGGACCGCTGTTTGTCCTGTCCTCGTTTAGGGGACCACATGCGAACCCCTACCCCTACCCCCCACGATTTCTGAGTGAACCCACCCTCCCCCTCAGAAATCGTGGGGGGTAGGGGTAGGGTTCGCATGTGCCCCCCTATCGTTCCAGGAGCGACCGCGAGACGTACAGCCGGCCCCAGGCCTGGGACGCCCCTTTTCGAAGCTCTTCGAGCGGAGCGCGGCCAACGAAGGTGGCCAAGGATGGGCAGAGGAGGCCAGGAGGCAAGGGTACCCCGGGGAAAGTTCCCCATCCTTGCCATGCGGGTTGACTGTACGCGTACATGAATGTTCGTTGGTTTCGATGGTGCGCATTCCGCGAGCGTTCGTAAGACGAGATTGGCTTCACCGACTGGGGAGCTGTGTTCATGTACATGGTGGGGTGCGCACGTCGTTTGTGCGTTCCCTGCTATAGCCCCTTTCAGCCGCCTCCTCACGATACGCTGACAATCTCAAGCCTGTGATCAGGATAGCTCGTCGTTTTCAGGCGCTCTGGGTGAGCCTTCGGCGGCCACGTCGCCTCTTCAGACTGGCCTGGGCATGCTGCCAGCACGCGCGCGCAGGAGCAAGGAGGCAGGGGAAAGGAAGGCACCGCCTGACCGCGCCGCTCATTTTCGAGCTGGCGCCACACGCGGGAGAACTTGGGGGCCGAACACAGTCGCTTCGATCCCCATTCCCCTGAGCCATGGGATTTCAGCCCCTCCAGCCCATCCTGCTAAGTGTGGGCAAGCACCGCGAAACCCGAAGGAACAGGCATATCTCTCCACCTGGTGGGTAATTCGGCCAGCGTGGCCACGACCACGCAAGTGGGAATGGAGATCGGTTAAGCGATGCTAAGTGCTGCTGTCCTCACCACCTTGGGGGGGCCCATCGATTTCGACGCCCCTCTCGCGAGATCGTCGAAACGATGGGTTCCCACAGGGGGGGTTCAGGAACAAAGTCAAGGGAGGAGAAACCACCCAGACTGGTGTTTACGACACGGCCCTGGGCGTTTACGAAACAGCCCTGTCCTGTTCGATTCCTCCCCTGGGTGCGTTGACTAGACGGCTTCGCGTGCCGGGGCGATTCTTGTGAGTGTGGATTTGCTGCTCCCTGCACAGCTCCACCGCCTGTGGCTGGTCAGCTCCGCCGCCTCCTCCTCCTCCTCCTCCTCCTCCTCCTCTCCTCCTCCTCCCTCCCTCCTCCCTCCTCCCTCCCTCCCCTCCTCCTCGCCCCTCCTCCTCCTCGCCCCTCCCTCCTCCCTCCCCTCCCTCCCTCCCTCCCTCCCTCCCTCCCTCCCTCCCTCCCTCCCTCCCTCCTCCTCCTCCTCCTCCTCCTCCTCCTCCTCCTCCTCCTCCTCCTCCTCCTCCTCCTCCTCCTCCTCCTCCTCCTCCTCCTCCTCCTCCTCCTCCTCCCGCTCTTCCTGCCGCTGCTGGCGCAAAAAAGACGCCCCTCGACAGACGTTGCCTCGACGGCGCCGCCCCCGGACCCCCCATTTTCAGTTCTGCGCTCGCGGCCGCTGTCGGGGTGCAGGCAGCGGCATTAAAAACCGCCCAACGCTCCACCGCCAAGGCAAACCCACGGGCATCCCCGCGGGCCCCGTGGAGGACCACATCTGGATGGACGTGATCGTCCCTGGCCGTGTGGCGGCCCTTCGTATCGCGAAGCACCCGGCAACGCCCCCTTGTGATGGGTCCAGTGTCTTCCTCATCCATAGCTTCGCCCTTAGCTTCTACCCCGCGTTTTCAGCATTGGAATTGGGGGGCACGGGGGTTCTGAACACAGCTGCGTGGTCCATGGTGCCTGTGGTGGGCTTTTTTCGCGCCAGCGGCGATGGGTCGTACGCGAGGCCGCCGACCGCCCTCAGCCGCTTCGACCTAGGCCTGCTAGATGGGGTCGGAGAAGATGGGGCCGGAGGATCGCGCCGCATCGCTGATGCATCGGCGATGCGGCTCGGTGCGGGCCTCGATCTCTTCCGCGCCGGCGTCGCCGGTGGCCAGTACGCCGGCGATGCGCCGCCGATGCGTCGGCGAGGCACTGGCGATGCGGCGCGGTCCTCCGACCCCAGCTGCTCGGGCCCCCTCTGAGAGACCTCCATTCGAGCAGGCGCGCTCGCCCCCCTGCTCGGGGCGCGCGCCCGCCGCCGCGGCGGAGCGATGGCGCACGGCTGCCTGGGCCCCTTCTTCGGCAGCGCGCTGGGCGGGCGAACGGGGGGCGCGTGCGGCACCCGCTCTTCCCGGAGGGGGGGGGGGGGGGGGGGGTGGGGAGGAGGTCCTCCCCTCCCTCCCTCCCTCCCTCCCTCTTCCTCCTCCTCCCTCCCCTCCCTCCCTCCCTCCCTCCCTCGCTCCCTCTCTCCCCCGTCTTCCCCTCCGCCTTCTCCTCGCTCGATCTCGCTCGCTCGCTCGAGAGGGCAGGCAAGTGAGCCCAGACCCGGGGAAAACAGAGCCAGCAGAGCACAGGGATCATGCAAAATTCATTCTCCCTCCTCCTCCTCCTACCTCCTCCTACCTCCTCCCTCTCCTCCTCCTCCTCCTCCTCCTCCTCCTCCTCCTCCTCCTCCTCCTCCTCCTTCCTCCTCCTCCCCCCCCTCCCCTCCCCCCCCCCTCTGCGCAGTGCGGACCGCGCTGCGCAGAGGGAGCGTCGACCGGGCCCCCCTCGGCGGCGAGCGAGGGGGGGGGGAGTGGGCCTTCGTGGAGCTCCTGGGCCTTCGAGGACCTCCTGGGCCTCCATAGACCTCTGGCGAGCACCGGGAGACCTCCGGGTGTTCGTCCGCGGCGAGCGAGGGGGGGGGGGAAGCGAGGAGGAGGAGGCCTTCTCAGAAGGCGGCGGGGCTTCTCAGAAACCCCCGGGCCTTCTCACAGGTTTTTGTTCTGTCTTCAGGGAAGCCTCAGAGAACTTCTCGGAAGACCGGGGGACTTTCGAGGCTTCTGAGAAGGCCTTCTCCTACTCAGTTCCCCGCCTCGCTCGCCGCCGATCCTCACGGTTCGATGGTCATCAGGACGTGCGCTAGTCGAATGTGTGCTTACACCGTCCAGCTCCACCGACCGCACGCAGCCAGCCCTGAGATCCTGGCGCTTCGACGTTTTCGAGCCAGGCGTTTTCGCCCACCCTGGGAGCCTCACGGAGTGATCCGGCATTCGAAACATGACGCAAAACGATGGGTATGGCCGTGCTCTGTCACTGTGTTCAGGCGATCTCAAACATGGATCAAGGGGGCGTGGGTCAGCGACGGGGTCCCGCTTCCATGGGGAATCGCGGATTTCCGCCGCCGAGCAACGCGGCACCGGCCGAAGTTTGGGGAGGGCACTTCACCCGATCCATGGATTTGGCGACCGCGCGCCAGATCCATGGATCGCTAATCCATGCTTGCGTGCCCCGGATATGTTGCATTGGGACGATCGAAATGGGTGCGGAAAGGATGGGCACAAGACCGACAGCCTTTCCTTTTCATGTTGGACAGGGCTCGCTGTCGGTGTCGCTGCGTGCGTTTTCCGGCCGCATGCCCAACAGCGGCCGCTGTGGTTTTTGGGTAGCATATGTTGTCTAAATTGCATCTTAATTGTTACGTTGCACCCCGCAATTGCGGACAAGAGGGAGGGGAGGGCGGGGTCGTCGGCAGTCTGCGAGGCTCTGCAGCAGCTCGCCGCAGGCGCCGACTATTTTTTAAACATTGCACAAGGAACCCGCCGCAGGCGCCGAAATTTCGTCAAATCAATGTTGGTGGGTAGCGGGCGGGTCGCGGGTGGGTCGAGGGCGGGTCGCGGGTGGGTCGCGGGGTGGGTCGCGGGGTGGGTCGCGGTGTGGGTCTCGCGGTGGGTCGCGAGGTCGCGGGCGAGGACGACGACGACAGCAGCAGCAACAACAGCAACAATCATGTTAAGATTGTTCGCTCCTGATTTTTTCGCGTGCCATTCAACACGTATATCCCAAACCCTCGATACCCGCCCTCTTCGTCTTCGATCGTACCCATTTGGGGGTATACTTTCTTACTGCAACGTATAGTTCGTGCAGCCCCGAATGCAGAGGAAGAGAGGACGGATGGACGGCAAGGACAAGGGGGAGGGAGGAGGATGGAGCACCAGACAGAGCAGCAAGAGGGGGGCTAGGAGTAGAAACCACGTGGCAGAACCAGACGGGCAGATCGGGCGGGTAGACCCTAACAGGCGGGTCGGGAAGGCGGGCCCAGGTGGCCAGGTCGAGCAGGCGGGTTGCTGAAGCGTGCGTCTTGCGTGAATCGCGAGGAAGTCTCAAGCGACAGCGCGATTCACAAATAAATCGTGTGAAAGACGCCACGGCGAAAGCGTGATTCCTGAATGTCGAGGGCGCGGCGATTGAATACATTGGCGGATGTCCCTCGCGAGAGCGCGATTTCTGCATACATTGTAAGGACGTCCCGCGCGAGAGCGCGATGTGGGAATGCATGGTGAGAGCTTTCGTATGTAAAAACAGGGTGCGGGCCCCAGAAGGACCATTTTTATTCAAAGGCAATGGTTACCGGGGGATCAACAGCAGTTATTTTTAAATGAGAATTCAATCTCAACAGCAACACCAACACCACCAATAACAGCAGCAGCAGCAACAACAATCAGTTTGATGCTGTTCGCTCCGATCTGCTCGCGTGCCACTCAGCACGTATATCTCAAACCCTCGGTACACGCCCTCGCCGTCTTCGATGATATCCCCCATGGTGGCACAACTTCCTTAACTGCCACGCGCATGTAGCGCAGCCTTTAAAGCAACGGAAGAAAGGGCGGATGGAAAGGGGAAGGAGAAGGATGGAGCACGAGAGACATTAGCGAGAGTGGGGTTAGTAGCAGAAGGCACGCGGCAGAACCAGACGGACAGACCGGGCGGGCAGACCCTAGCGGGCGGGTCGGGAAGACGGGCCCAGGCGGCCAGGTCGAGCAGGCGGGTTGCTAAAGCGTACGTCTTGCGTGAATCGCGAGGAAGTGTCGAGCGACAGCGCGATTCACACATAAATTGTGAAAGACGCCACAGCGAGAGCGTGATTCCTGGGTGACGAGGGCGCGGCGTTTAAATACATTTAAATACATTGCAAGGATGTCCCACGCGAGAGCGCGACTCCTGCATAACTTATCAGGAAATCCCGAGCGAGACGGCGATGTCTGAATGATATGTAAGGAACTATCAGGCGGGAGCTCTTGTTGCTGTGACTCGGGGGCCAAGGGCGCACTTTGGTGACACCCAGCTTTCCCGTGTACAAAACGCGGTGCGAGCCCCAGGAGGCGCACCTTCATAGAAGAACAGTGGGTACCCGGGAGGGGGGAGCAACGCTTAATTTTTATACATGAGAATCCAACAGCAGCAACAGCAGCAACAACAACAGCGCTGCAGCAACGCAGAAACAACGCAACACGAATCCGCACCGCGGAGCCATGCTTCAGCCACGCGCCTAATTACGGACAGCGAGTGACCGTGCGGCCTCGCTCTAACGTCGGATCTCAGGACGTGTCGGCCCCTTTCTGTGCTGCCTGCGTCCTGCTGGCGTGCTTCGGTGGACGAGCACACGCTGGCGCTGTCCTTGGCATCGTTTGAACGTGTGGCTTTTTCCTTCGGCGAGGGCCATCGAGGAGCATCCTTGATCATTTGGCGGAAAAACCAGGCACGAAACCGAAACAAACACAGGGAATGGACGTCCGAGCGATGGCCAGTGTCACGCGTCATGAGGATCATCGGATGGGTGGTGCGTCAGGGAAGCGAGGGCTGGGCAAACCGTGTCGTCTGCGCAGACCCTCCCCGAGGCAAGTTTCACAACGAGCTGGAGGACGACGAGTACGCCGACGACGATCGGCCAGGCTCTTCCCCAAGGGCGGCCTGACAACAAAACGGTAGTTGTCCCTTCTCGCCCCTCCGCGTCGGCGGCCGCGTGCTGGGGGCGGGGGAGGGAGGAGGAGAGCTGGGGGGGAAACGAGGCCGGGGTACGAGGAGGAGGAGTAGGAGTTCTGTTTATTTCCTGAGTGTGTTTGTCATGTTGTTGCTGGAGCTTCGTGTGTTCTTTGTGTTGCTTATCTGCTTGTTTTGTTTCGCGGCGATCTAGCTGCGCCCGTGCCAAGTCCGACAGCCTACCCCTCCTGCCCATCCTTTCCCATGGCGCCGAATCATGTTAAATCCGTTGGCTATCCTAGAGGAGAGTGATCCGTTAAGTGATTTCGATGCGCCATCAAGAAGGGGGGCGCTGTTCATTGAAGAGGGAGGTGGAGGATGGGCAGGAGGAGGATGAGCAGGGAGGAAGAGCAGGATCAGCAGGATCAGTCGGAACAGCGTAAGGCGGAGGATGTGAAGCGAGGTTGCCGGCAACGACCAGGAAGGGATCGGATCCAGAAGTCTGGCCCGCGGAAGGGACGAGCGTCGCCCTGAACGTCGGGGGCAGAGCACCGATCCTGCAGCGGGCGCAGCTTCTGTGATGGGCCGAAGACGGAGCGTTCGACGCCGATGGCCATGGGAAAGCACACGGAACGACATCGAAAGAAAACGAGGCGGGGGAGAGAGAGAGAGACAGAGGGAGGGAGAGGGAGAGAGAGAGAGAGAGGGAGAGAGACCACACACACTCGCAACAACACATGCGTCTGGTCAGGGGGGAGAGAGGAGAGATGTACTCATACGGTGTAAATGTGGAGGAGGAGGAGGAGGAGGAGGAGGAGGAGGAGGAGGAGGGGGAGGAAGGGACTAGGCTCGCTCGCGTCACACCTGACCTCCTAGCCCCTCTTCCCATCCCTTCCCATTGCGCTGGTGTTTCTTGATCCGCGCACGCGTCACGTACTGGACCTGGAACCCTAGAACGAAACATTGCTTTGCGCGGCTCAATCGGAGCAAGGGGAGTTGCGTACATAGGAGGGCGCGGAGGAGGCGGCGGATGAGCAGGAGGGTGGGCAGGAGAAGGAGGAGGACGATCAGGAAAGAGCAGGAGGACGAACAGCAGCAGCAGCAAGAACCGGAGCGGAAGGCAAGGACAGAGCAGGAAGGCCAGGGGAAAGCGGAGGAGGGGAAACGAAAGGGACGACAACGATGAGGAAGGATTCGGCTCCAGAGAAGTCATCTGCGTTTCTTAATGAGCGTGGGGGGTACCCCCCCGACGGGGGTCCACCTCGCCTCGTCGTCTCGCTGCGGCGGGGTCGGAGCGCCTTCGGCGCGCGGTGGCTGCCCGCGACGGGGGTCGATGTGGGGCTGTCTGCGGGGGTGACGCCCCCCCGACACGTATTCAGAAACTCGGAGTAGCCAGCACGTTCGGAATGGGAAAACAACCAAGAAAGACCAGCTCGCCCACATCGTGTGAGGCGAACACTCTCAGCACACATCTCCGGGGGGGAGAGGGGTGCGCAATATTCATATTGCGCAATTGTGGAGGAGGAGGTAATGGGGGAGGAGGCGGTGTAGGAGCAGGATGATGAAGAGGAAGAGGAGGAGGAGGAGGAGGAGGAGGAGGAGGAGGAGGAGGGGAAGGAGGAGGAGGAGGAGGAGGAGGAGGAGGAGGAGGAGGAGGAGGAGGAGGAGGAGGAGTAGGAGGCGGAGGAGGCGGAGGCGGAGGAGGAGGAGGAAACGAGCGGGGGGGGGGGGGGGAAAGAAGGAGATGCCTCAGCACGGGGCCGCCGACAGGGGGGTGCGGAGCCGTGGCGTCTGGCAGATCTGCGCCCGGGTAGGCGCCGCCCGCCAGGAGAGGTCTGCGGAGGAGGCCAAGAGCCGGAGGTCTTTCTTCTCGAGGACCCCGTAGGGCGGGGGGGAACCGACGTAACGTGATGGGGGTGCCATTCATTCAGAGGGGGAGCAGCATGCACCTTTCGTGCCCCTTTTTGGGCCGCCAGGGGCCCCTTCTGGGGGCACAAGAGGTGCACCCCGCTTCCCCCCCACTCACCGCACCCCCCTATGACTCCACGCCCGAGCTTCGGCTTCGCGTGTCGCTCCGCCCGTTCTGCCCCACGGCGCTTCGGCGCGGCACGCCGTCCACGTCCCCGTTCGCAGGCGTCAGCGTCCCGAGACGATGCCAGCCTCCAAGCCCCGCGGGGCGGAGCGAAGACGCGACCCGCTTGCAGGGTATACCGTGTCGTCGGGGCCGCCGTCGCGGCACGCTGTGCAGAAATTCCTGACCGTGCACAGGAGGCAACGGTGGTCGGGTCGCCCCTTCTGGGTTCAACGCCCTCTCCCAGCCGTCGGACAAAGGGTTAGACGCGGGGAGGTGGCCAAGCCCCCTCCGCCTGGACCCCCTCAGGAGTCCTCGAGCATGAGCGCAGGCGTGAATGACATGCGTAAGCTGCACCTAGTTGCCGACGCACACTCGAACAGATCCTGCAGGATCCTGCGCAGACCCCCTCTGGCTGACCTGGGTGAGCGAGCCGCTCGTGGCCGCGAGGCGGCCGCGCATATTGGCCGACCTGGGTTTGCGAAGACCTACGTTGCAGTTGTGTTTCCTGCGTTGCAGTTTTTGTTTTTTTGCTGACCCGGGTCTGGATTGACCCGGGTCAGAAGATCCCCGAGCGCAGAGAAAATTCAAGCAGTGGCGAAGCGTCCTGGCGTGCCTGTGGCCCTACCAAGCAATGTTCTAACAGCCTTTTGTGGTTTCCACGAGATGCTTCTTAGAACCTTTCTGGTCGAGACTGTTTTGTTTTAACACATCAGGTTTATGTTCTAAGAACAGTGTTTTTGTTATTAGAACAGTTTTGAGTTCTAAGAACATTTCGTGGTAGGACTGTAGGAGTGCCGGGACGGTCGGTCCCTGCTCAAAAAACGAGAACGTCGAGGTCTCGTGTCCAACAACGAGAAAGAAAGCGAGGACGTCGATACGCTTCCCGTCCCGCTTCCCGCACGTGGAGCCGAGCGGCTTCGGAGGGTCTGCGAGCGGATCCCGCTCCGTGAGCTGTGAACGGCCGCCGCAGCCTGCCGTGCCGGCCGGAAGTGGGCATTCGCAGTCGCTCTTGCGCAATATTGCCACGTGGGCGCATCCGTGCAGTGATGCTGCAGCGAATGTTGCGCCCGCGTCGGGCTCGCGTGCTTCCGGGCACATCGGCCTTCTGCCCCCTCGTCGCGCAGGGGAAGGCTGCAGCGAGTATTGCGCCCGCGTCGGGCTCGCGTGCTTCCAGGCACATCGACCTTCTCTTCGCGCAGGGGAAGGCTGCAGCGAATGTTGCGCCCGCGTCGGGCTCGCGTGCTTCTGGGCACATCGGCCTTCCGCCCCCCTCTTCGCGCAGGGGAAGGACGAGGAGGAGGAGGAGGAGGAGGAGGAGGAGAAGGAGGAGGAGGAGGGGGAGGGGGAGGAGGAGGAGGAGGAGGAGGAGCGAGACGACGGCGACGGCGACGGCGACGGCGACGACGACGGCGACGACGACGACGACGCCGGCGGCGGCGGCGACGACGACGACGACGACGATGTTCTGCCACCCTTCCCAGCCCTCCTCGCCCACCCCCCGCCGCACTCTGACCTTCCAGGAGGGCTAAAAAAGACTAGCACCCGACCTGAATACCGATCCTAGAGCTGTTCTACGTTTTGGCTTTGGGCAGTTTCGCCCAGTTTTTCAGGTTTTTGGGCCTCCAGTGCTAAAGAATCGCTCTCTGGAAGGTCAGGGCGCTCCTCCCCTCCCACGCCCTCTCCCCCCGCCCTTTGCCCCTCGCTCCCCCGCTGCGTCATCCCCCCCCCCCCTGCCAATCGGCCCCGGCCCCCTGTCGTCCAGCCTTGGGTCGGGCCTGGCCCTCCATAGGAGGAATATTCAGAAAATAATAGAAGAATCGTCTGGGGACGATTTTGCTATTATTTTTCAGCACTTTGGGAGGCCTTTCCCTCCCTTCAAAGAATAATTGAAGAATCGTCTGGGGACGATTTGTTCTACCATTGTTCGGCACTTTGGGGGGTATTTTTCGACTTCTCTTACCTTTTTCGTCCACGATCCGCCTGTAGGGGGACACGCCCGACCCAAGTCCAGCCCCTCCTCCCGCGGTGTGCTCTGCCCTCCCCCTGCGCCCCTCCGCAGCCCCCCGCCTGGCATCTCGACGGGGCGTGTGCCTCTTCTCTCGGCGAAGACCACCGTCAAGGTCGGGCCTGTCCCTCTGCAGGAGGAGTGCCCAAGAAGAGTCTAACAATAGTTTTTGGGGGACGATTTTTTTGCGTATTCTTGAATCTGTCTTGACAACATGTCGAGTCTCTCTTATTTCTCGTCCCGAATCCCCCTGCAGGGGGACATGCCTGACCTCAGACTATCGAGGAGCATCCTGGATCACCTCGCGCAAAGCCGGCGCACGAGACCGAAGCGTGCCCGGGACGTGGACGCCCGAGCGACGGCGAGCCCGGCGGCGTGCTCCTGTGTGTTGTCTCCACGGCGAGGCACCCCTGGCCTGGAGCTGCTTTCTCCACGGCGAGGCACCCCTTGGCCTGGAGCTCTGCCTCCCCCCCGGGGGGCCGGCGTCTCCTCCGGCGCTGCTGCTCCACGGCCGTGGGGGCCCAGCAAGGGCGGGCTTCCCGCCCCAAACCCTTGGTCCCGGATGTTGTACCGCTGCCACACGACGCGAGGGGGGGTCAAAACGTCGACCCCACCTGCGGAAAGCCGCCACTCGAGGAGCGGCTGCGAGCAGGAGCTCGTGGCCGTGCCCTCCTTGTCCACGCCCGGTCTCTGGGCCGAAGCTGGCGCCAAAAAAGGCGACCGCCTCCATAGGGGGCCCATGACAAGAAACACCCTGCGTTTCGTCAGGGTTCACTCGGTTTCTCTTCGTCAGGGTTCCCATGGTTTCGTTTGCAGCCGAAGTGAAGGAAGCCCAACAGCCGTGGACCAAGAAACCTCGGCGGTGTTCAGTGGTGGGTTTCTTGCGGCGGGTTTCTTGTGCATCGGTGGATCGGCCCCCCCCCCTGTACCCCGAGCTCGCACTAGTCGGTGCATGGGCTACGTAATCCGCTGCACCTGCGCCGCCCGAAGCCGTGCGACAGACAGAGGTGCGTTCAGGCAAGAACCTTCGAGGTGGGGCCAGACGCGGCGACGGGGCCCCCCCTGGACGCCCGAAGTTCACAGGCGACCGCAACCAAAAAAACATCCTCGAAGTTCGACCCCTCGATCCTCGCAGCTCGAAGTTCGAAGTTCGACCCTCGATCCTCAAACATCCTCGAAGTTCGACCCTCGAAGTTCGACCCGCGACTCCCGCCGGCCTCCCCCGACTCCGAGAGAGAGGGGGGCGCCTGCCGGCGCCCCTGCCCGAGGATTGCGCCGCGGTCCCTGGGGGCCGGCGAGAGCGCGCGGACCGGGGACTTCGCGCTGAAGAGGCACATCAAGGAGCCAAGGGGAAGCCCCGGGAGTCGAAGAGGAAACATCCGAGCCCCGAATCATCAGGGGTAACTCGGGTCAGGGATAACTCGGGTTCGTTTTCCGGGAACCCAAACCCGAGTTACCCCGGGCCCGAGTCACCCCGGATAATTCGGGCGTCCAGAGCCCCAGATCATCAGGGATAACTCGGGTCAGGGCTAACTCGGGTTCGTTTTTCGGGAACCCAAACCCGTGTTACCCCGGACCCGAGTTACCCCGGATAACTCGGGCGTCCAAAAACATCGGGAGCCTCGAGACGGGGGTCAATGCAAACGGGGGTCAGCCAGGGCACCGGATGCTGCAGGATCCTGCGAAGACCCCCTCTGGTTGACCCGGGTGAGCGAGCCGCTCGTGGCCGCGAGGCGGCCGCGCATGTTGGCCGACCCGGGTTTGCGAAGTCCTGCGTTGCAGTTTTTTTTTCTTGCATTTCAGTTTTTGGGTTTCCTGCTGACCCGGGTCTGGATTGACCTGGGTCAGAAGATCCCCGAAAACAACACAAACATTATTTTTTGGCGCTCCGCGCGGGTTTCTTGGATCTGCGCTAAGCTCCCCCAGCAGCGCCTCCGGCGCCGCCCCTGGCGCGCTCCGCGCGCCAGGGAGAGGGGTCCAGCGCAGATCCAAGAAATCCGCGCGGAGCGCCAAAGGTTATTCCCCATATCTTATGATGGGGTTCTTGTTATTCCCTATATCCTAAGATGGGGTTCTGATTATTACTTGGACGCCTCCTCCTCCTGCTCCTCCTCCTCCTCCTGCTCCTCGACATACCTAGATTTACTTTTGCACAGACTTACTCATACACAGACTTACTCATACTCAGACCTGATCAGATTAACGTACTCATATTCAGACCTACTCATCTTCAGACCTACTCATACTCAGACTTACTCATGCTGAGACTCACTCATACCCAGACTTACTCATACTCAGACCTTCTCAATGTCTGACTTATTCAGCACACAGCAGATTGCACATTGTGAGGATGTCTCAGGCGGGGTGCTGGCTTCAGCACCCCTAAGGTGGGCCGCCGAGGGGTATTGCACGGTCCCGTTCGCGGCCGTTTTGTGGGGTTGTCTCAAGCGGTTTGCTTGTTTTCTGTCCCAACATCTTTCGCTTTCGGGGCAGGTTTGGAGGATGTCTCGAGCGAGGCGCTCATTTTCACGTCTCTAAGGGGAGCCGCCGAGGGGTTGTGCACGGTCCCGTTCGCGGCCGTTCTGTGGGGACGTCTCAAGCGGTGTGCTTGTTTTCTGTCCCAACATCCTTCGTTTTCGGAGCAGGTTTGGAGGATGTCTCGAGCGAGGCGCTCACGCCCCTAAGGAGAGCCGCCGAAGGGGTAGTGCACGGTCCCGCTCGCGGCCGTTATGTGGGGATGTCTCTAGCGGTGTGCTTGTTTTCTGTCCCAACATCCTTCGCTGTCGGAGCAGATTTGGAGGATGTCTCGAGCGAGGCGCTCATTTTCACGTCTCTAAGGGGAGCTGCCGAGCGGTATTGCACGGTCCCGTTCGCGGCCGTTTTGTGATGATGTCTCAAGCGGTTTGTTGGTTTTCCCAACATCTTTCGCTTTCGGGGCAGATTTGGAGGATGTCTCGAGCGAGGCGAGGCGGTCACTTTCACCCCCCAGGTGGGCCAGATTTCGAGGATGGCTCGATCGGTTTGCTTGTTTTGGTGGCCAGATTCGTGAGCACAGATTTCCTTCAGGATGCCACAGGAGGCCCCCACAGGCTCCAGGAGACCACATGAGGTCCCAGGAGGCATCAGGAGGCCACATAACGATTCAAGATGCCACAGGATGCCCCAAGAGGCTTAGGAGGCCCCAGGGGAGGCCTCAGGAAGCCACAGGAGGCCCCAGGAGGCCATAGGAAGCGCCAGGAGGCCTCGGAAGGCAACAGGGGGCCCCGAGATGCCCCAGGAGCAGGAGGCCTCAGAAGGGAACAGGAGTGGCTCCAATCCCACGTGTTTTACGTATGATCCTACCAAGTGGGCTTCACCTGGAGCACGAATCCTTGATGCTATACGTATGTTTCTATGGATTGCCCTTCTCCTATGTACACAATCCTACATGTTTTATTTATGCTCATATATGTCGGGCCTCTCCTGGGGCACGAGTCCTTGGTGTATTACGTGTGTTCATATAGAGTGTCCTTCTCCTGTGGCTCTAATCCGCAATGTTTTGTGTACGGATGTTGCTATAGATTGGGCCTCCCCTGGGGCACGAATCCCCCCTAGGAGGCCCCAGGAGGCCACAAGAGGCTCCTGGAGGCCCAGGAAGCCCTAGTAGGTTTCAGGAGGCCCCAGGAGGCCCCAGGCTCATGCGCATTGACGCGCTCGTATTACTGAGGCTCATTCACACTCCAATTCAGTCGCAGTTAGATTCATGACCAGACCGTCACAACTGAAGCCCGTTTATATTCGAAAGCTCTTGCGCCTATACGTTCGCGGCGGGCAGGCCCATGCGAATAGATGCACATTTGGGGAGCCCCACGCAGTGAGTAATTACTTCGACGCCTCCTACTCCACATTCCGCTTCCTCTCCTCCTCCGCATCCTCCTCCTCCTCCTCATACCTAGCCTTACTCATACACAGACTTACTCATACACAGAC